AGAAGAGGGGAAAATCTAATGTCAATTTACCTGTGGGACAGACAGATTGCTACCACTTATTTTGGATGTACCTCTACAAACTGTAAGTCTTTGTCTAGGATTCCCAGAATAAAAGCAATAAACCTGTGTGTTCTTCTGAGTTATCTATCTGTTAAAGACTGGAATAGAAGCAACTTTCCTGTCTAGAAACAGTATAGTACATATTTTCTAATTATTTTATCTTTTTAATTCAATTCTTGGTAATCCCTCCTTTCCTATCTACCATCGTATCTTCATTATGTCTCTCTTTTTCTTGTTCCCTTTTTTTTCTTTGCTATGAACAAGTGTATACCTCCTTTAGGCTTCCTGATTAAAATTGTCCACACTTGATAAGAAATGCTAACCACCAAGACGTCCCCAAATGTCAATTTTTAGACAAAAATGCCACTGGCTGCCTCTTCCCCCCCCCCTTCTGGGTCAAAACCTCCTCCAACCTTTGTCCTTGTTTATAAATAAATTATCTAGCGAAGAGCCAACAAAGGAGAGCTCATCAAACTCTGTTTGCATTTGTTAACACAAGCTCTTTTTCTAACAGTTTTGCATACAAATCTTTAATCAAAACAACATAAGTTATAATCCCAAATTTTTCTCAACTTCTTTGTTTTAACTTCACAAAAAATAAACAAGTTTAGTAAGATATTCTGAGTTACTGAAATAGTTTTTTTTTTTATCAAACTCTAGTATTGCTTTTAATATAAAGTTAGTCAAATTCCAATTAAATCAAATTCCATTCAGATGGAAACAAATTTCCATTAAATTTCCATACCACCTTTCTCAAACCTGAATTCTAAGCAGAGAAAAAGTTAAAAAGATCAACCCCCCCCCTTCTCCTTTCACTCTCTCTCTCTCTCAAAGCAACACAGCCAGAAAAAAAGCAGGGGGGAAGGGGGGGTTGTGTCTGCAGATAGAGTTTGAAAAGGCATTAACACACTTCTGAATAACATTTGCAAAAGGGTGAGAGCAGAACTAATAGGCAAGAAAATGGTATAGGATTTCCTGCCTGAGCAGGTAACTTTGGGCTGTTCTTAAGAGGGAGAGGAAAACAAACAAACAAACAAACACATCTTTCTTCACTTTGTTTGTTGGCCAGACAAACAGAGTGAGGATGTTTCTTTTGGTATCTTCCTTTCTCTTGGGATTAGAAACAATTAACAGTCACATTTACCTCACACACAAAAACTTTGACACACATATACATACCAAGACAAGGAAAAGAGAACAGAAAAGAAAACAGAACTTTTAGTTCTACACATCCTTGTCATTCCCACCACAAATCTCAGCTAACTCGAATTAGAGAAGGCAAGAATCTTAAACATACCATATGATTGCACAGAAAGATGGAGAGAAAAAGAGAATCACTACTTCTTATTTTTCTTTTAAGTACTTTTATTTAGCCAATTCCATTTTCCTAACTTTGCTTTGCTTTGCTTACAGGACCTAACCAGCTGGTTACTCAAATCCAATTCTTTCATTCACCCATTCCATTCCATTTGCACACAGCCTTTCCCTTTTCCCTAACAAAAGGCCCTGCGCTCTGGCCAAACCCCCATGTTTTCCAGGGTCTGAACTCCAACAGATCCTTTCTGCGGCTAGGAAAAACTCAATTTTACAGTTACTTTTTTTTTTCATTAGGTTTACAACAACGACTTACAACAACAACCCATCTTCTTGAGAGTTTCCCTGATTATGGTTCCCTGAGGTTCTCGATTTGACGGCCACTCAAAACTCTTAACACCAGGCTGGCCTTCCCCCTCACAGGAGTAAGGGACCTCAACCTTTCAGGTCTGCACTCCTCTGGACTTACCAGTGTTCCCAGAACACAGCCCATCACACTCACACAGCCGTTATCACAGAAATCCTCCCACAATCGCTCTCCTGACCACCCAGGTACAATTGCATGGTTCCCTACTTCGGGGCAAAAGTGTCTTACCTGGGCCAGTGCACTGGGTTACCTGGTCTGGGCTTCAGTTGCTGATTTTCTTCCTTTTTTCCTGTTCTTTGATTTTTGTAGACCAGAGTTGTCAATTTTGTTTGGCTCGGAGCCTGCAAGGGGAAAATAGATCTCAGATAATTCCAGGCAGTTGAAATCAACAGGCGCGCTCCTGATTTTACTGAGAATAGTGTCCCCTAGAAGCTCTTTTGCCCGCATTCTCCACCAAGTTGTGAGATGTGAAAACCCCAAATTTTGATACTCACAATACGAAGACAAGTCTGGTTAACAAAACAAAGGTTTATTGGAGAATAACATAAAAAGAATAAAAAGAGAAGAGAAGAGAAGAGAAGAGAAGAGAAGAGAAGAGAAGAGAAGCGTTTGCAAACGGGCCTCCTGTATCCTTCCCTATGGATTGGATTTCCAGGAGCACCCTGGCCTGGTTTCAAGTTTTGCATTTTATACCCCTACAATGCATGCCACATCTAAGGAGCTCTTTCATCTTTATAATGTACTTTGAAGTTGTACTTTGTTAACCTGACCTCTTCCGTCCATCTGCTGTTTTCTTGTTTATTTGTAATTTTCACCTAGGGTCAAAATCCCCCTCTTTGATAGTGATTTCTACTCAAAGTGTAAGTTCCTGTGTCCGGAGGATTTTTAGGTAGTAAACATTGAACAAACTTTCTCACACATTTGGCAGTGCATTGCTAAATTTGCGTTACAGTGTTACATTTGTGTTAAATAGACAGTCTCATATATTGGCATTATATTTCTACAATTATTTTTCTACAATTTTATAAAAGAATAACTTTTATTTCCTTCAAAAGCAAAAGTTGGAAATAATAATAATAATAATCTTTTAAGACTGCTTAAGAAAAAAAAAGTTGGAAAAAAAATACGGAATACCAGGACTACCAGAATATCAGAGCAACAAAGATGATTAGGTGTAAGACGCTAAGACAAAGACGCAGGCATGTCTTGAGCAGAGGTTTG